CAAGTTCTATTATTCACGATTGCCTGGGATAAATCAACTCCGTAATTTAACGAGGCTTGGGTTCTAACCCATGATCTTCTGCTCAATAAAAAAAAGTTGTTCTATAGCCACCGTGCCCCCTGCATTACCACAATCTACGACCGACTTAACAAAAAGCTATTCAAATGAAGTGACGTCTCCGAAAGCAGTTGAACAATGTTTTTTTTTTCAATCCAATTTAGCAAACACCCTTTCCAAAAATTCCAAACTCAACATACGCATCTAATCGCAACAACCGAACTACACACGACTTCAAAATATTTTCACAAACAAATACCATGATGAGATTCCACATATCTCATAAAATCTTCACTGTGAAAAACCTGGACTACCTATTGGACTCCACAATTGATAGGGGGGTGAAGAAGTAGGCTTTGAAACCAAAGGTACATATGTCTAACATACAGAACGTAGTGCTATTGCCGGACCTACGAGGAAACCTGCTTTCGGTTCAGAAGCTCTCGCAGGTTGAAATCAACGTGTTATTCACAAGTCGTGGAGGTCAAGATCGTGCGGAATTCCAGAAGGATGGAGAACTGATCGGTGTAAAGGGTGATACGGTCAAAATTTGGTCAATATCAACTTGACGTATTTCTTTCAATTTTGCATTTAAAAAACCTGAACACCCCTCATTTTGAAGGTGTGTGTGTGTAGAATGTTGCTCCTATTTTGATTTTGGAATTCACTCTTCAGTTGTCAAAATGCCGTCCAAGCAAGAAGAGCAGCGTATCAAAATTTTGCTCGCGCATCGCGAAAATCCGAGCTACTCGCATGCAAAGTTGGCAAAATCGCTAAAAGTGGCCAAATCAACCGTTACAAATGTAATTAAAGTGTTTGGGGAACGTTTGTCGACAGCCAGGAAGTCTGGATCGGGGGGAAATCGAAAACCGGAAGCCGCTGAGACGACAAAGAGAGTTGCCGGTAGTTTCAAGCGAAACCCTAACCTCTCTCTCCGAGATGCCGCAAATAAGCTGGGTGTATCGTCTACAACCGTGCATCGAGCCAAAAAACGAGCCGGACTATCGACTTACAAGAAGGTAGTGACTCCAAATCGCGATGATAAACAAAATACGACGGCCAAAGCGCGATCCCGGAGGCTGTACACGACGATGCTGACGAAGTTTGACTGCGTGGTAATGGACGACGAAACCTACGTCAAAGCCGACTACAAGCAGCTTCCGGGACAGGAGTTTTATACGGCAAAAGGAAGGGGAAAGGTAGCAGATGTTTTCAAGCACATGAAACTGTCAAAGTTCGCAAAGAAATATCTGGTTTGGCAAGCCATCTGTATCTGTGGCTTGAAAAGCAGCATTTTCATAGCTTCCGGGAGCTGTCAACCAAGAAATTTACGTGAAAGAGTGTTTGAATAAACGTCTGCTGCCTTTCCTGAAGAAACACGGTTGTTCCGTACTGTTTTGGCCGGATTTGGCATCTTGCCATTACGGTAAAAAGGCCATGGAGTGGTACGCCGCCAACAACGTGCAGGTGGTTCCCAAGGACAAGAACCCTCCCAACACGCCAGAGCTCCGCCCAATTGAGAAATACTGGGCTATTGTCAAGCGGAACCTAAAGAAGACCAAAAAAACTGCTAAGGGCGAGCAGCAGTTCAAGGCAAACTGGCTTTCTGCGGCGAAGAAGGTGGACAAGGTGGCTGTACAAAATCTGATGGCAGCGGTCAAGCGTAAGGCCCGGCAATTCGGATTTGGAAAAGCGGAAGCCTAACTGAATATTTTTCCTGAATTTTATACTAATTGAACTTGAAAAAGAAATTTAATTTGATTTTTTAAATAAACGATTTCACCGATTTACACGCGTTTTCCCTTGACCAAATTTTGACCGTATCACCCTTTAGTGTTGCTGCGTTGAAATTTGTACCAGCTGGAAATTGGATATCGGTACTATGGGACAGCGTGACCGAGACAAGCAAATTGTGCCATCTTCGCTTGGGCCATGAAAGTCAACAAGCTTTGAACAATCTTGTGAAGCACGAAAAGGGCTACAGGTTTTGTGGAGAAGCTCAATTCAATTGGTTTTTGCGATACGTGTGTGATGGACAAGCAGTGTCGGGAACGAGTTGACGGTGTCAGAGAACGTGCCACACATAAGTTGAAGTAATCTACCCAATCAAGCGCAAATCAGAGGTGTTCCGTTGTTTCGGGAGTATGAAGCTCTGGCTACAACTCAATGGCAGACAAAAATCTGAAAGCTCACCGTGGATCAAGACCGGGAATTCTTCTCGAATGCACAACGCAATTACTACAAGAAGCGAGGCATTCAAGTTCAACCAACGGTAGCTTATTTCCCTCAGCAAAACGGGGTAGCTAAACGTTTAAGCCGGACCCTGGTTGAAAAGGTAAAATCAGTATTGATTGACTCGCCGGTTCCGAGGACCATGTGGTCAGAGGTGGCTCTAACAGCAACGTACCTCTTGAACCGTTGTCCTACGGTGGCATTGGCTGGACATGTAACCCCGGCCGAGAAATGGATGGACGCCAACAAGATAAGAACTTTTGGGTGTAAGGCTATGACATGGATCCCCAGAAAGCAGAGGAAAAAGTTGGACCCCAAGAGTCGCGATTCGATACGCGATACGCTCCGCATGGCTCTGGGACAGAGAAGCAAGAAAAATAGTGATCGCAAGAGATGTGAAGTTCAATGAAGAATGTTTTCCATATGCAGAGCAACTTGATGAAGCATCTCAACTTCCCTTGATGATCTCCACACTGCACGAGCCAGAGAGGGAGGGATCAAACAACCCTGTTGAAGATCTACCACGCGTTGAAGGTCCTGTTGATAAGTCCGTTGATGAAGCTTCTTACGAGGAATTGAAAGAGAAAGTAAATCCTCGCAACAAAGAAGTGCCGCCTGTCAGGAGTCAACCACTAGGCGCAGCGAACGGGAGCGCGCAGGCTCCCAGGTAAGTTGCTAGATTTTCTAACCGTATTTAGAGCAACCTCTGCTGTTGGAATTTCTGATTCACCAGATCCACCATCATCCTACGAGGAGATTGATGGACGTGACGATCGGAACCACTGGCTGGCAGCTGTCCATGATGAACTGGAATCGTTGATGAACCATACCGAAGTTCTGGACAGTCTAATGTATATTATGATGTCGACCCGACCGGACATTTGTTTCCCGTTAGAATATCTCGAACGATTTCAGCACCAACCAGAACAACCACATTGGACTGCTTTGAAATGGAATATTCTCGGAGCCATTATTTGGATTTGCTGACGCAGACTGGGCAACGGATACCATGGATCGAAAGTCGCTGAGTAGATTCTTATTCCAGGTTTATGGAAACACAGCCTCGTGGTCAAGCAAGAAGCAAACGACGGTGGCCACCTTCTACTCTGAGCATTGAGCGCTGTTGTGGCAGAATCAATTTGGCTATCTGGACTCTTGTGCGACCTGGGTGTGAAAACATCAAAACCTCTGACCATCTATGAAGAAAACCGTGGCTGTATAAGGATGGCCCAAAACCTGGAGTGCAAACGAGCAAAACACATCGACATAAAGCATCATTTTATTCGTGACCGCATCGCAGCCGGACGTGTACGGGGTGAACTTGTTAGAACAGACGAACAATTATTATCACGAAAGCTTTGGACGATGGAAGATTCGAAAATCTACGCCAGACTATTGGACTCCACAATCTAGAGGGGGGGTGAAAAAGTAGGCTTTGAAAAGTTGCCAAGCACTTGTGGACGATCAAAAGCTGGCATTCCCAAACTAGCTCCCAAGCTGTGAAGAGCACATTTAGAACCTCATAAACGGTAGTTGTAGTTGTTACGGCTGTGTATTTGCCTGTCTGCACATCCGACTAGTCCATATATTACATTAAATTCCTTTGAGGTTCTCCAGGAATTATTCTCAGATTTAATTGTAGTTAATTAGCATAGATTTTTTTTTAAATTATCCTCAGTATTTCCTCGGGTTTCTTCTTTGAATTACCTTGGAGTTTGCCACAGCATTATCATGAAATAATCCTAAGAATTCTATTCCAAATTTTGTCAGAATCCCTATTCCTTAATTTCTACTCAAATCTATCTTGGTATTCTCCTTAGGATTCACAGTGAATCTGGAGTTCCTCAGAACTTTGCAATCCTTTTTAAAACGCGCTTGGAATTATCCTCAGAATTTTCATGGTGTTTTTCTCAGAACTAATTTGGAACATTCATTGAATTTGGAGCAGGAATCCTCCTCGCAATCGTTAAGGAATCATCCTCAGATTACCCTTAACATTCTTCCCAGTACCCTCTTTTAAATTCACCAGGAGCACTGCACACAATTGCCTTGGAGTTCGTCCAACAACTAGCTTGGAGATTTTCTCTTAGAAAGAGAGGTTACTTTTTTAAAAAGATTTTCAATCTCGAGCTGGTTCACCTCTGGAACAACTTGGCTAGCTTTTCAGAATGTGTGCATTCTATAGTAAAGCTGACTCCAATTACACTATTGAGCGTAATTCAACACCAAGTTAGGACCTCCAATGAACTCTCCAACTTCCCATAATGTTGTCAACTAGTTACGTTCCGGATGCCTTCGTCGCCAATTATGGTCAAGTCGCGATTGAAACTTTTGTCAACGAAATGGCATGCTTACCATTCCGAAATTGGTAGCAGCACCATGCGGTCCCTCGATTCTTCCTGGCCTAGTTACTTCGTATCAACGTTGCCTAGCCGGCCTCTCGTTCGCTCGAGGAAAGCAGAGTACACAGTCGACCCCTAAAAATAAACTTCGTGCACGGCACAACACAGCGGCGCAGTGTGCATCGCCGAAAAAATATACAAATTTTATGCAAAGGTCGCCGTGTGTTTCCCTCCCCTTATTTCATAAGAACCCATGCCACAGCAGCAAAAAAAAAGATCAATGTTATTCCTTCACGTACACGCTTCGGGGACTCGCTCAGCTGAATAATAGGAAAATATTGGTCAGTGTACAGGGTAAAAAGAACTCACTCTAAACTCGTTCTACCGAACACAAATTTTCAGCTCTTTCTCTCGCTGTCGCCGCTCCTGCTGCTGCTGCTGTCGTCGCTTTTCACTATCCGGGTGGCGGTGGCAGAGCCCCCTCTAGAATACGCACTCTCACACACTCGGGCTCGCAGCAAATAATTCGATTTCGAAATCGATTTTCTGTTTATATTTACAAAAATGTGTTAACTACTCTTCGATTGTTCCCCGGGAGTGACAATCAAAGGAGGTCTCGTCGATGACCTATTTTCTACCCCTCTAGTACACTATAGTAGGCTAGGTATCTTTCCACCACTGATGCTGCCGTTTACGTTTTTTTTTTTTAATTTAGGGGTAGAGACAGGGAAGGTGGGTGGTGGTAGGTAGAGACAAGACGTAGTAGTAGAGGAGGAACGGAAAAAAAACTGCTCCCAATCGCGCACACGGAGTGAAAATCAAGATGGAGGAACCACACTCTCGTTCGTCGCTGTAGCCACAGTCGTCGTCGTCGTCAGAAAATTGAAATCCGACCAAGCCACAATCTCGCACTCAGGCACGCACTTTACACCTCAAACACCGGAAACCACTTTCGGACGTTTCCTTTTTTATACCTTTAGCATATTGGCCGTAGAAAATCACTCGAGAAAATTTTCTTCTTCTTCCTGTTTTGTACACTGCGGATTCCACTCTGCTGCAAGTTCGCCTTCTTTTTTCACAGTCAAAAATTTCGCGGACCGAAAATTCCCTTTCAGGTAAATATAATTATATAGGTTGCTTCAACAGGACACTCTCTCGCTCGCGCCGCGCACTCAAACCGTCCCCGATTCCTCGGATTTCCGAACAAATTCTCAGCAGTACTTCTTACGTAACGAACCACAAAACGCGGACGCACATAATCCGATGATGCTGGCCAGGGAAAAGAAAACGGGAACCTCTCGGACTCAATACTCTCGTCGACTCGCTCAAACGCCCCGTAATCGCAAAAAATCGCACACCGCACGCACCAAAAGCACAAACCACCGCGAACTCGACTCACTCGAACGAATGCTGCAAGATGAATGAAAAAGCTCTCGCACTCGGCTCGTCGGCTCTCCTCTCCGGGTGCCAGGAAGATGGCCGCCGAACGGTGGAAGAAACTCAAAGTCGAAAGAGAAATGGCAATGACAGTTGAGCAGAATGGATAATGCAGGTACGTACTCCAGGGAATGCTGAGGGGTAGGATCGTATGGCAGTGAAGTAGTAGAGCTATGGTTTTCTTTTATTACTAGCTGAGTGTGCCTGGCCTTGCTCGGGATTCAATATTGCACAGCAAAAAAATTTAATATCGATCAATGTAATTCAAGCTGATGTATGAAATAATGATGTCATAGCAAAAAGCAGATACAATATAACGTCAATGGATGTAATTTTACTCGCAAAATCGATGTACATCGTACAAACAACAGTACAACCAACAATCAATACGAAACTAACGATTTTAAATTGGCTCACCACTTTAGTAGCCTATTGGTCCCAAGCAAACGATTAACGTACCCTATTCTAGTTGAAATTCTATTACTACACTATGTTTGTTTTGATTCACTATGAAAGTTTGACAGATAACATCAGGGGTGTGTGGATTCATGCAGAACATGCAGGGGTGAGTGAAATAGCTTGGGACTGCTTGGGACCGTTGTTCTGGTACTGAGTGAGCCAAAAATAATAATGATTTTCTTCGGGACCCAGTGGTCTTAGAGTTACCTCTATGGTACAACCAACAATCAATTCGAAACTAACGATTTTAAATTGGCTCACCACTTTAGTAGCCTATTGGTCCCAAGCAAACGCTTAACGTACCCTATTCTACTTGACTAGCCTATTATTATTATTATTTATCTTTATTAGGGAGGCATTGACTAGCCTATTGGTCCCAAGCAAACGATTAACGTACCCTATTCTAGTCTAAATTCTACTACTACACAATGTTTGTTTTGATTCGCCATGAAAGTTTGACAGATAAAATGAGAGGTTTTTGGATTTTCTTATGTTTCGAGGGGTGCTTTCTGCTTTCTTGCAGATTTCTTGTCGTCTGAGGTTGAGTCAATCGAAGTTCACATCTTCACGGATGCCAGCGAACATGCTCCGTCGATGACTACTCGCAGATACGCTATGTCTTGATCGAAAGGGGCACCGTTGAAGCGCCAGTCAATCCCGCGACTGGAGTTGAAATTGGCTGTACTTGGAGCGCGGATGAGTCAAACGATGATCGCCACGCATTCACTGAAAATCGATCAATGCGTACTGTGGACAGATTCACGAACGGTTTGGAGTTGGATCCGGTCTGACCAACATAAATACAAACAGTTTGTTGCGTTCAGGATGGGAGAAATACTGGAGTTGACACGAACGACGGATTGGCGATGGGTTTCAACGAAGCAGAATATGGCGGACGTCTTGACGAAATGGCATCGAGGTAACGATCTGGAAAGCGATGGAGTATGTTTCACTGGTGCACCGTTCCTACACCAGCCCGAAGACCAGTGGCCGACTATGGAGGTGCCGATCGAAGAGACGTACGAGGAAGCCAGGGGCCACTTGACATTCTATCAACAATCAATACGAAACTAACGATTTTAAATTGGCTCACCACTTTAGTAGCCTATTGGTCCCAAGCAAACGATTAACGTACCCTATTCTAGTTGAAATTCTATTACTACACTATGTTTGTTTTGATTCGCTATGAAAGTTTGACAGATAACATCAGGGGTGTGTGGATTCATGCAGAACATGCAGGGGTGAGTGAAATAGCTTGGGACTGCTTGGGACCGTTGTTCTGGTACTGAGTGAGCCAAAAATAATAATGATTTTCTTCGGGACCCAGTGCTCTTAGAGTTACCTCTATGGAACTACCCCGTAACGCATGGAAAAAGTGTTAAAAATTCGGTAGATTTGGTTGAGCAGCTAGAAGGGTTCAAGGTGAGATTTTGGTATTGTTTGATGTTGCAGCACTATTCCCTAGCGTACCAATCGCCGACGCTTTAAGAAGCCTGCGTCAACATCTAGAACGCAGTCGAGCGCCACACAATCACATCCAGGCTTATCTGCTTGTGGCTAAGGTATGCATGAACCAGATTTTTTTCACTTTCAGAGGGAAATTTTACAACCAAACGTTTGGTCTAAGCATGGGCAGCAAACTTTCGCCTCTCCTGGCGAACATCTTCATGAGTGACTTTGAAGCCGATGCTGAAAAACACAAGTTTTTCCCACGTGTTTGGAGGCGCTATGTAGATGATGTTTTTGCACCAGTGAAAGAACGGCTACTTAGAACAAACTGTAAGTCTACTTAACTCCCAGCACAGTTCAATAAAATTCACGGTAGAAAAAGAGGTGGATGAGAAATTGCCCTTTCTGGATCTAATGATAACCAGAAAGGAGGACGACACCCTGAAATTTGGTATTTATCGCAAACCGACGTCCACCGATCGCTACATTACTTCCGATTCCAACCACTTTGGAGCTCAAAAGCAAGCCGCTTTTCACTCCATGACACACCATGTTTACAATGTACCCATGGAGGATGACGAGTTTGCAGAGGAAAGAATTCAAATCTACAAAGCGGCTGAAGTGAATGGGTACGAAAAGGAGTTCGTGGACAAAATTCTCCGAAAACAAAAACGAAAGAAGCACCGACAAGAAGAATCAGTCTGCCGTTCTATCCCAAAATTACGAATCCAATCAAATCCACACTCAAGCGACAAGAACTACAGGTAGTACACAAGAGCGACAACACTTTGCGTGACCTGTTGTGTAATTTGAAAGATAAAGTTCCGCCGGATGAACAGTCTGGAATTTATCAAATTCCATGCAAGGATTGTCCTTCAGTCTATATTGTACAAACGCGCCGCAAAGTAAAGGTCCGCCTAAAGGAACATAAACATGCTGTAGACAACAGAAAATCAAATGAATCAGCTGTGGCAGTACACACAATTAGCTTAAACCATAACATTGACTGGAAAGGTGCAAAACTCATTAAATCCGTCAGAAAAACTACACATCTAAACGCCTGGGAACTCGCCTGGGAATCATCATTTATCACCAATGCTGCTGAACCATTAATGAATGAAGATGAACCCCCCCATTACATCCTGCCTTTTCAACCTGACAAATCTGAGAATCCAGTAGCTTCTCTTCTCTTCTTTTTGGACGTGTACGGAACAACGTATGAAAATCCAAGTAATCAGTCGGACATTGTCCCGTAGATGGGCAGCATCACGCCCGAAACCGGTCGACAGTAAGGTAAATTTTAATTTATTTTAAAGTTGTAAGAACGATAAGTGTTGTGTCTTGTCTCGCGTCGCGTCTTGTGAATGTCTTGTCTCGCGTCGCGTCTTGTGAATATAGAAAAGATTAGCAAATGAATAACCACCACACGCCAAACAGATGAGAATGTTTTCATTCGGTTATGTAAACGAATAAACATTGAAGGGCAGTGTAGCGTTCATAGTGACCTTCTAAACAAGGAAGTTAAACGGCAACAAAGCACAGAGCCATGCAGAGTAGCAAAATTAAAAACCAAAATAAACAAATGAAGACGCCAGAGTATATCGCTACGTTCGAACAAGGGATATGACTCATGAGAGAGACAAGAATATATGCTAATGAATTAATGAATGAACACTATGTACTAAGAATTAAGAGGGAGAAAATATCAGCCACATGGAAAGTTCTATTAGCAGGCGGGTTCAGGTAACCTAAGAGAGGCGGTTTGGTTCGCTGAGAGCATGAGAGTACTCATAGAGAGAGAGAGGAGTTGCATACAAGTTATGGCAAGAATTGTGGCTTGCTAGATACAGGTATGATTGAGAGGAGGGTTCTAAAAAGTAGGAGAAATAAAGAGAGTATAAGTAATAAATGGTTAAATACATGTGAGAAAAAAGAACCACTGTATCGTTGATTCTTATATTGCATATGATCTGAGAAGAAATCCATATAGTAAAAAGACCCGAAGTTTTATATACTATGAACGTTTTTAGAAGAACTAAGAGGAAGGGGTTAATAACTGAGAGGGAACATGAGCTTATAGACTGAGAGGTCTCTTCGTCAACGCGACTTTCTGTTTTTGGAACCACGGAGCCAATTCGAGCAATCAGCAACAACTTTTTTTATATGTTCGACTTCAATGTATCAGCTGACGTGTTTCGTCATCGGCTACTTGGAATTTTCCGTACCGTTGACCGTAACTATTTAGTTTAAGTTTTATTCATTTAGACAATAATTGTCAGTTGAATTTTTAAATAAATAAATAAGCAAGTAAACCTTTGTTTGTTTACAAAAAGTTTGTATGCCCTTTTCACATGTTGTTCTTGAAGTGGAAAATTTCTAAAAAACTGCCAATCCAATCTGACGAATATGCAGTCCGTAACCAGATAACAAAAAAAAAGAGAAATAAATGAATTTTATATTTTTAGAGAGTACCAGAACTGAAGCAAAAAGTTGAGCTCGTTTCTTCGGGACCTTCTGGTCTTAGAGTTACCTCTATGGTAGAACCAAAGACAAACAGACGTAACTCTTTGAAAAACTTGTTCTTGAAAACATGGTATCTCAAAACATATAACCTCAGTAACGACATCTCTCTGGCTTCTCGCGGAAAACAAGCTTGCTCGCTAACTCGTAAACAATATTGCATAAAAGTTCTATAGAATATATAGAAACGTCAAAGTGATCCGATGCCAGCGCTGCGGCGAGTAGTTCGCGGAACTGATTATATTCAAATCAACCGTTAAATGCATGAACGAAGATACACAATGAAGAGTTACGTCTGTTTGTCTGTGGTAGAACAATTTGTTTCGAAAGTTTCTACTTTTAAAAGCCGTGAGCAGGCAACTTTTGAACTCACAGTTGGTTAACTTTCAATTTAAAAGTTAACCGCTTTCTACCAAAAAGAACCAACGCAAACTTTTAATTCCACGATGCTTTTTTTTAATTTTATGAACGATTTTTCTTTGTGTGTCTTTATTGGATTGAACACTAGGTAGAAGCAAATCGACTTCGGTTATCTATATCTATATAATCTACACGAAACGAAAATCAATTTTTTAATTCATGTGTTTCACTTATACATTTTTGCCAAAGCATCAGCCTTATACCAACAATCAATACGAAACTAACGATTTTAAATTGGCTCACCACTTTAGTAGCCTATTGGTCCTAAGCAAACGATTAACGTGCCCTATTCTAGTTGAAATTCTATTACTACACTATGTTTGTTTTGATTCGCTATGAAAGTTTGACAGATAACATCAGGGGTGTGTGGATTCATGCAGAACATGCAGGGGTGAGTGAAATAGCTTGGGACTGCTTGGGACCGTTGTTCTGGTACTGAGTGAGCCAAAAATAATAATGATTTTCTTCGGGACCCAGTGGTCTTAGAGTTACCTCTATGCTTATACCAACAATCAATACGAAACTAACGATTTTAAATTGGCTCACCACTTTAGTAGTCTATTGGTCCCAAGCAAACGATTAACGTACCCTATTCTAGTTGAAATTCTATTACTACACTATGTTTGTTTTGATTCGCTATGAAAGTTTGACAGATAACATCAGGGGTGTGTGGATTCATGCAGAACATGCAGGGGTGAGTGAAATAGCTTGGGACTGCTTGGGACCGTTGTTCTGGTACTGAGTGAGCCAAAAATAATAATGATTTTCTTCGGGACCCAGTGGTCTTAGAGTTACCTCTATGGAACTACCAACAATCAATACGAAACTAACGATTTTAAATTGGCTCACCACTTTAGTAGCCTATTGGTCCCAAGCAAACGATTAACGTACCCTATTCTATAGTTGAAATTCTATTACTACACTATGTTTGTTTTGATTCGCTATGAAAGTTTGACAGATAACATCAGGGGTGTATGGATTCATGCAGAACATGCAGGGGTGAGTGAAATAGCTTGGGACTGCTTGGGACCGTTGTTCTGGTACTGAGTGAGCCAAAAATAATAATGATTTTCTTCGGGACCCAGTGGTCTTAGAGTTACCTCTATGGAACTACCAACAATCAATACGAAACTAACGATTTTAAATTGGCTCACCACTTTAGTAGCCTATTGGTCCCAAGCAAACGATTAACGTACCCTATTCTAGTTGAAATTCTATTACTACACTATGTTTGTTTTGATTCGCTATGAAAGTTTGACAGATAACATCAGGGGTGTGTGGATTCATGCAGAACATGCAGGGGTGAGTGAAATAGCTTGGGACTGCTTGGGACCGTTGTTTTGGTACTGAGTGAGCCAAAAATAATAATGATTTTCTTCGGGACCCAGTGGTCTTAGAGTTATCTTTATGCTTATACATTCCATAAGACAAACCACATAGGTCCTATTAGAATGCATAAAAGGTATGTGTGACCGCTTATACATTTCATTTGACACATGATCTTTATTAACTTTTTGCAAGGCGTCTGCTTATTAGTTGACTTATACATTTTATGAATAATCAGCAATGGAAATTTGCCAAAAAGTATAAGGAGATTTCTATCCGTGTATAGATTCCGAAACATTTATCTCAGTGTAGAAATACGATAAAGCAGTACTAGATCGCCTTATTCCTATCCCCCGCTCACTCGTGGGACGCGACAAGAAAACGTCAAACCTCACTTTGCGAAAAAAAAAACAACACAAAAGAAAACCATCGAAAGAAAAGGGCAACAAAAAAGGGAAAACGGCGAATCATCAGCGAGCGTATCTCGGCGACCCAACGAGTACAAGTGAGCGGATTACGTCCAGTGATAAAAGTTTTTCGCGAATATCATCTCGAGTTTTCGATTGAAACCACCGGAAAACGGTTCCGTCGTGTAGTGGTGCGTTCACCGGACCGGAATCGAATGGAATCCAATGCGGAACGGCGCGGAATGGCGGTGAAAAATTGAATTGAAAATCTTGCCAATCTGGCTTGTTTCCGTTCCAATCCAATCCCGCTCCCATCAAGTCGATAAGAGAAGCGGGGAAGAAAAGCTCGCGTGCGTGTAGGTGGTGAGAGGCGCGGACTCCCGCGCGAGTACCGCTAGTTTTTCATCAGTGACAATATTATTATTTCAGGCGGTAAACAAAAACAAAAAGAGTACAATTTTGAAAGGTATGATGTTTTTGGGGGAAATATTTGTTGCAAATAGTTATAATTTAATTTCGTGCTTTCAGATGTCGGAGCGTTACACACATCAGCTGTTGAAGGTGGTTGTGGCCCAGATATGTCAGACAATCGGATGGCACTCGATCCAGTCGACTCCAATGGAGTTGATGATCGATATTTTAGATCAGTATTTGCGGGACATTACCCGGGTGACGCATCGCTATTCTGAGTTGTACAACCGGACCGATCCGAACTTGGACGATGTGGCGCTGGCTTACCGGGAAATAGGGATGAATCTGACCGAGCTGCAGGAGTATCTGCAGTATGTGGATCCGATCGAGAGGCCGTTCGAGGTCCCGAAGTATCCACTTCCCAAGGACAGTCATTTGAACTTTATGAAGCCGGGAAGTAAGGAGGTGCTGACGAGACCGGTGCACATTCCGGAGCATATGCCACCGATGTTGGTGGATTCGGAGGAGGAGCAGGAAGAGGAAGAACGGCGCCGACAGATGCAGATGCAGATGATGGCGGAAGCGGAAGACGATGTGGTGGAAGATGTGAAGCCGGACATTGGGGAAGTGATCGAGAAGATGGAAGAAGTGGGAGCGGAAGAGATTGCAGTAATGGATGCTAGTCAGAGTGAAGAAGTGGTGACGTTCAAGCGACCATCGGATGGTCCATTGGGGGACGGGATGGTGGACGTGAAGAAGCCCAAGACGCTTTCGGACGAGAGACGACCGACCAGGGAAATAAGTAGTGTAATTATGACCACGTCGGGTTTTATATCACCGGCCCGGGAGGGGAGGCTACCGGATTCGAAACCGCCAGTTATTCCGGAAGAGAAGCCGAAGCCTCCGCCACCGCCACCACCGGCGCCGGTGTCTAGTGTATTGCCGGTGGCGAAAATAGATGACAAATTTGGCAAGAAAGGTAAGAAGAAACCGGTCGAGAAGGAGAAAAAGGATAAAAAAGAGAAGAAAGTGGACAAGAAGAAGGACAGTTCGGAAAAGGAAAAGGAGGCAAAAAGTAGACCAGCGACTCCGACGATTGTGCCACCGGTGGAGGCCGCTTCTGCTGCACCGGCTTCGTCGATAGCTGAGGACATCAAGCCGCTTCCTGCGATGTTGGAACTGCCTCCGAAGCCACCGACGCCGGGACCGGATATCAAACCACCGTTACCAGTTCCGATTGAACCGGAGAAACCACCCCTTCCGGTTCCTGTTCCCGTAACAACACCAGTCGCTAAACCAAAAAAGGAGAAACCCCGCAGGAAGAAGCAACAGGAACCGAAGCTAAAGTCTCAACAGCCGCGGATGTTGCCCAATGCAGGAATGGACGCGAACTCGATATTTCCGCCGCAGCAACCGATCCCACAGGTTCCTCTTTCCTCGCCGCTTGTTAACCGGATAACTCCGCCGAAACCTCCGAAGCCCAAACGTACCAAGCTCACCAAGAAGGAGATTCAGCGGCAGTACATGGAGCAGCTTCAACAGTTTCAAGGTCCTCTCAATGCACATAACATCCTGGACATGTTTTCTCCCCCGGGCAAGAAGCCTCTCCCGGGACTGTTTCAATCGCCCCTTTTCCCTTCCCAGAAGCAGCTACCTGGACAGCAACCGAAATTCCCGGAAAATGCCGGTCAGTCCCAGTTGGACATTTTACAGAAGCTTCACCCTAGTTTGGAAATCACACCATCTCCTGGTCCTACTGGAGGGCCTTCAATTCACGGATCCTCTCCGGAGAAGCATAAACTGAACATTTTCAAGAAGGTAGCGAAGAAGGAACCTCCCCCGGGGACAACCACCCAAGGACCGATTATCGTTATCGACGACGACAAAAGCCCTCCCCATCAACCGCAGTTCCCGACAACGCCGATGGCCAAGAAACGGGCTCCCAAACCGTCAAACTCGGGCGGTTTCTCCTTTCAGGACACGCTGTCCTCGCCTGATATGGGCTTCAACATGGGCATGACGCCGAGTGACCATTCCGGCATGGGCCCATCCGGATCGTTCCGGGAGTTCTCCCCTCCGAAAACTCCCTCCAATCTACCCAAAACCCCCGATATCAAAATGCCATCCAGCTCCAGTTCATCGGCGTCCTGGATGAGCGATTCGGGAAAACTCTCCGCTGGACCGGGTCCCCTGTTTGGCGATTTCCCCAACTTTGGCCTCCCCCCGGCCAAGGAAGAAAAGAAGAAGAAGCCAAGACAAAAGCAACCGAAGGAAACGGCCGCTTCGAAGAAGGCGAAAAACGCTCAACTCATCGAAGAGCTCAACCTTCTTCAGCAATTTCAGCAGCAGCAACAACAACAACAACAGCAACAGCAGCAATTTCCCACCACTCCCGGGTCATCCATAGACAAGAAACCCATGCAGGATGTTATGGCCACCTACAGCAAACTGCTTAATCCTGGCATGCCTCCAGGCTTTCTCGCGTCCCAAATTCGCAATCCCATGTTTGGGATGTTCCCACTGCCATCCGGACCGGGTCTTATTCCGGATAATCCCCTATTCAACCCGTTCAATCCTGCTCAGTCATTTTTGCCACACGGACCGTTCGGAATGCCCCCGATGCCACCGCGCTTCGACATCAGTAATTTCCTACGCGGCCCTCGGCCACCCACCAAAGCACCCTCGCTTGAAAATTTTGACAACCTAGATCCGGAAACGAAACTGGCCCACACTCCACTGGATCTTCAGAAGAGTACCTGCAACGTTGCTCCCTTAGTACCACCAACGCTGCAAATTGATCCCGTCATTCCCTCGCCATCAGTATCATCCGGTGGCACTGGAAATCGCAAGAAGCAAATTTCCCCAGCCGTCAAGGAAGCTCACGCACCACCCCCTCCGCAGGAACAATCGCTAAACCTCTCGACCAAATCGGTCATCCACCCAAACCCGACCATCCCGTCATCGATCGTCCCGCAACCTCCGGTAGTTCATCAACCGATAAAAGTGCCCCCGGAACCGATCAAAACCCTTGAGCTCCAACAACCGGCTCTGCCGATGGTCACCACCGCTACCACAATCGTCGCAGGGCCCTCAAATCTGCCGACCCTGGCAGCCGCATCGCCAACCGTGCCGCCCATCACCCCGGGGGAAACCATCGTCATTGGGTCCGATTCGGACACCAACAGCCAGTCGACGGTGACGATGGCAGCGATGGGCATTTCGCCGCCCCAGTCATCCGGTGGGTCGTCCTCCAAGAAGGAAAAATCCGAAAAACGCAAAAGCAAGGAGCACAAGAAAGACAAGAAACTGAAGGAGGGCGGCAAGATCAAGAAAAAGAAGGACAAGAAGGATAAGAACAAGAGCAAGGACCGCGACCGGGAACGACCAAAGTGAGTGCTTTTTTTTTACTTTCAGAACGAATGTATAGAAAGAAATGTTTTCAAATCCTGCGATAAATACAGACTTTTTAAACTTATCATTTTACACCTTTTAGTGTCGTTTTTTGCTTAATTTGCTGCGCCATATCTGTTCCTAACTAACCTCCCGAAATTTGAACTCATTGTTGTCCTTGGTTTACATACACTCATCCGTTGTCTTCCCGTCTATTTCCACAGATCGTCCGTCTCCATGAATCAGGACCTCTCCGATGGCACTTTGGAACCACTGTGCACGACGGTGACCGCCCCCGCCGTCGAAGAACCCATGCTGTTCGACCAGGTCCGCCGGAAAGAGAAGAAGGAAAAGAAGAAAGAGAAACTCAAGAAGGAGAAACGGAAAGTGAAGGAACGGGCCGCAGCTGCTGCCCTGGATTCATCTTTCCCGGACACCCAACGGAGCGCTTTTAATCTATCCGGCATTGCGGATCCAACGACCACGGCTGGTGCTTCCTTATCGTCCTTTGGCCTTTCGGAGCGTCGCGATAGCCCCGATGGAACAACAACGTCCGTACCGAAGCTGATGCTCAAGCTCAGTTCGACCAATACTCCTTCGCCCCGATCGGGGACCCCGGATAATCCGCCTTCGTCGTCGGAAACCGGTTCTGGTGGAAAACCGTCCGAAGTCAAGCGGGAAGCCTCTCCCGAACTGGCCCGAATATCAGCCCTAGTTACCAGACCTCCGAAGCTGAAAACCCCTGGCAGCAAAGGCAAAAGCAAAGAGGACGACTCCAGTAAGCCACCCAAGCTCTCCGCTGACCATTCAAGCAAAGCTGCCGGGAAGCTTGACTTTGTCGCCTCGGATCAACCAGCCAAGCCAAGACCACGTGGCATACAGGCACTGCCGGATTCAATCGACTTGTTCTCAGTTACTCCTACTCCTTCGCACACAGCACAACCGAAGCCATCCCCGCTGGTTCCACCCACGACATCTTCCGCTGTCGCTACGGACCCACACTCGACTCCACATTCCTCCAAGAAACCCCCGAAGGAACCGAAGTCGTCCAAATCGCACAGCAGCTGTTCGGCTTCGGCCAGTCTCGGCGTGACGATCCCGGCCCCGCTGAACACCCCAATCAACGTGGAGGACGCAGACGGCAATGTGGTTTGGATATGTCCCGCCTGCGGCCGGGTTGACGACGGAACGCCCATGATCGGCTGCGATGGGTGCGACGCGTGGTACCATTGGGTGTGCGTGGGCATCCAGGTGCCGCCGGATTCCAACGAGGACTGGTACTGCCGGGTGTGCATCGGCCGGAAGCAGGAATCGCACGGCGACGAGAAGCAGAAAAAGCGGAAGAAGAAGGACAAGAAGAATCCTAAGGACTAAGGATGATTGTTTATGTGTTCGATTCTATTATTATACGTAGCTGCGTAGGTTTGTTGTGAAGCATACGCTTGACTCGTGTGCCGGTTGTGTAGTGTTTTCATTTCATATAAATACTAATATGTTAATATAATTGATTGCTGTAATTGTGAAGCATTAATCAAATGGATGTATAATGAAATGGTTCAGAATGTAGCTGAAATTGTATCTTAACAGATGTTTGGCGATGGTGGCAGAGCTGGTCGCCAGCATTCAAATAAATGAAAATGTATGAATTATGAATGGTTGTGTCTTGTCCATTAGTTGACCCATTCCATGAAGTTCTTCGTCGCGACTTTTCAACTGCAGTTATTTTATGTGTTATTGCTTTAAATTGAGGATTACTTTAGACAAGGCTTGAAAAACATGTTTGAAATTATTCGAGTAATATCGAATTAAAAAAAAAGTCGAAAAATGCTTTAAGTATCCTCATCCGAAAAATACTTCAAGTCTCCACATCCATTAATGTATGAGTTAGGCAAAGAAGTGTGCGTTTGACTAGTACCGCAGACAAACAGACATAACACTGGTAATTTGTTCAACAAACACACATTTAACGGAAAATTTAAATGTTTTTTATTTGTTAGTACCGCCACCTGTGGCGCACATAACCCATAACCCTTGCGTTTGACATTTACAAACTACCGCCACCTGATCAGCGTATTATCCATCGCAGTATACTCAACAGATGACGGTAGTGTTTTAGCGACGATGTTTTATATTGAAAAATATTCAACGTGTTATGTCTGTTTGTCTGTGCTAGTACTGTCGCATTAATGGCCCTTCACTCATTTTCAACTTCTATTCAGTTTTCATACTGCCGTACTCTATCGGAACTACCAACCTACCCTCGTCAGACCTTTCTCTAGCTAATAATTTACCACACTTAAGCTTCATGTTAGATGGCATTTCCAACCAACTCTGAAACTCGTAAACTTCACGTATGAAGTAACATAAAACACACTTTGAATGTAGAAAAATGCTATTTTTAGGTTGCGTTGTCCCGTCAAGTACTGTTTGGCTTCTACTAGTAGCACTGATAAGTTACACCATATTTATAACTATTGATTGGAAAACAAAGTGAATAATGTTTACTTGCTATTGGTGCGAATGAATATATTATAGCCTAAGGTCTACCATATTGAAATCCAGCCCTGGGCTCTTCTTGTCGACGGTTATGAGCCACGGTTTTAATAGTACGTTCAGACTACAGAGTTATAAAATGATATAGCGCTATCTTGATGGCAGTTTTTATGTTGCAATTATTTGACAACCGTTATAACGTGTCATTTTTGCCACACATGCACTTATAGTACGTTCAGACTACAGAGTTATAACATGTTATAGCGCTATCTTGATGGTGGTCATCATCATCATGTGTCTCGCACTTAATTTTGCGCTTATTGTGAAACACATCCATTTCATGTGTGAATCTTATGCTTTGAATCATGCCTGAACACTATGGATTTAAATTGTGACACACTTGGATTCTATGTGCCTCATATGGTGATATCAATAGCTTTACACATCATAGTTCAATATTCTACTTTACCGATTCTAAAAATGAAACAACAAAAATATAAACAAAACTTCAAGAGGCTAGAGCTTTAACATATCTTTTTAATGGGTCTGATTTGGGATTCGATCATGGACTGTTGGGGTGTGCTGCTGCCGGAGCCTTCGTTCGATCTCACTGTGCCACGATTGTTCTCATATATGAGGCGGGTTGATAGGATAAAGTCACAACTCTTGTTTTCGATGTTTACCTTTCTGAGCAAGCAATTCACATCGTATTGAAATGCAAAACATTTTAAATCCATCTGTTTTGAACAGTAGTGTGATTCAATGTGCAATACACTTGAATAGATAGTGAAAGATTTTCAACATAATTTTGAAACACTGGAAATTAACGTGTACAACACATTGAACCAAGGTTAAATACACTTAACGTAAATGTGATTGTGCATTTAAAAAATCACACTTCGATCAAACGTGTGGAATTTTTTGAGTGTATATATGGCATCGTTGCGCCACAATCTTTAACTGACGCATTTTCGTGACACTTATACAGTGCTTTAACGTAGTCTTTACCACGAGGCTCGTGTAATTTTCAATGATGATCCATGGAATATGTGGTCGTTCCGACAATCTCATGGAACGTTTAACCTACAAAATGTTTACAATGTGCAAATTAAAGAGCTCGAAATTATTAATATTATTTTTAGTTAAAAGCTCACCTTTCCTCGGACAACAAACAGATCGCCAACAAGAAGTCCTTCAACCGAACTAACATAACCCGATTCAATTTTTTTGTAGGCTTCTAGGCTCTTCCGGCTGTTGATTTGGTTTCCGAAAAATGGTAATCGGTGGTTCAGTATGTACATCGTACAACGTAATATTACACACCCGGCGGAATGACCTCTGTGCAGCTGTTTGGATGTAATATTCAACAACTTTTTTTTCTGTGTACCTAAATCTTTTCAAATTAGCAGAAGTGCCATCACTGCTTCATTAAACTTGGTGCCGCTGTACATTTTCTTATGCGCGAAGTGAAAGCCGCTGTAATGTCACTGGAAAAAGTTTTCCAACTCAGTTTCCGCTCGTTCCATTCGCTCGCTGTTAAAGTTTGCCGAGTTTCTCGCGTGTGAAAAATCAAAATTTTGCCCGAAAATGTGCAGAAAACTCGCGAATTTGCGGTTATAAGTAGAGAAATTATGAAACGTGGTAATTTTTCATCAAGTGTTATCAGTTATAGGGTGATCTTGCAAATTAATCTGATGCAGTCCCGTGTTTGGTTTGATCCGGGAAAGGGAAGAGGGCTTGTTGTGTGCACGCTACTTCAAAACTACCTAAATTTGTGTAGGATCTACTCATCGATCAAAAGAAGCTACCTACTAAAATGAGTAAAGTTGGGAGTGACGAGTAGGCAAATAGACAACATCCCAGGTGGCCACCCACCAGGATCCGGGAACTTAACACCGGGAATTCAATGGCACCAACGGGAAAATTTCGCTCAAATAAGCTATATCTTCACCACAGACAAACAGACATAACACTGGCAATTTTTCCATCGAACACGCATTTATCGGTAAATTTAAATGTTTTTAGTTGGTAGCACCACCACCTGTGACCCGCATAGTCAATAACCCTTGCGTTTGACGTTTACACACTACCGCCATCTGTTCATCGTACTTCCCATCATAGTATGCTCAAAAGATGGCAGTGACGATGTTTTATATTGAAAAATGTTCAATGTGTTATGTCTGTTTGTCTGTGTCTTCACTTTCACAGCTTATACAGCTTTTTGACGTTTAATCGGCGCACACTACTGCACCATTTAAATCGAACATTGAAAACATTATTTCAAAGATTGTTTTTATGTGTCCAACACATAAATGTGATCAACAAATGATATCTATATGTCGGACACATACTTAATATGTTATGTAAAGACCAACAATTGAAATGGCCTTAACTCCATTTTGTAGACAAACCTTTTAAGGCCATTTTCTCGCGAACCGAAGTCCGCAAAGGCTAACCAGCATAATTAACAGGTAGGGGAAATTATCCTCTACCTGATTGTGGGTTAGGTTTGCGAATGAAGGTTTCGGTTCGCGAGAAAATGGCCTTACAAGGTTTGTTTACAAAATGGAGTTAAGGCCATTTCAATTGTTGGTCTTGATGTGTACAAATAAAAGCCATGTGTGTAAACGCTCCTATAGTTGCGGTACGTTAGAAGCGTTAGATTGATTGATTGATTTCTTTATTAAAGAGACTTTCAGCCGTAGGCTGGTTCGTCTCTGAAAAATAATATATGAAAATACAGTTGATTCAAATTCCTTTTTTTTTTCACTTTCTTCCTAGCTGCTTATTTTTGCTCCTCGTCTTGACTGGTGAGTCCGGAACTGACAATTCGTCTTCTTTTTCTTCCATCGAATTTTCATTTCCTGCTGATTCATCATTCTGGCAACCCTGGTTCGTAATATATTGTTTCGCATTGTTGTGTTTTTGTTTCGTTGACAGCCGTCGTTTGTTGGTGACGGTTAGAAATTCATCCGATTCACTCGATTCTTGTGCTGTAGGGTCATTTACAGTAATGCGTGATGTAGAGCTATTACACTTTTGTCGGGGATGAGCCTTTTGTCCACCGAACCTACAGGTTTTTGCTTGATTGCGATATGTAATCAATGTTGTCTCACCGTCGATCGTTAGATAGGAAGGGATGAGTTGTTTGAACTTCATCCGTACTACACGTACTCCATTGTAAATGCCGGGAAAATAATTCTTCCACATTTCTCTGCTGATGGAAAGAATAGTACCGTATGGTCGCATACTTTCTAAAATCACCGTGTTAGGTGTTTTCGGAGGGAGATCATGGATTCTCACGTTAACGGCTTCGTCTTCCACGAACACGGGAATTTTGTAAGCTTTTTTCTCGCACTGCATAGTAGGGGAAATGACGGCTTCGGCATGACAGACTATTTTCGGCAACCCAAATTGAAACACTATTTTCACTGCATTTTCTTACAAAAACACTTCGCTGAATGCATGCAAACGATTCTTTATGCTTTCAGTTTCAATTTGACTATATTTTTACCACTGAGAAAAAGCAATCTAGCAGGGTTTTCTTGAAATGAAACACACGCACTACAAATTGTAGCTGATTTCGAGTTGCCGATAATAGAACAGCAGATTTACATGCAGTTCAAATGGAACGGTTGCCGAAGAAAAACTGGTTGCCGACAATGCTCGCTCTCACTAAAGAAGATTGGAGCTTTGTAAAAGCGTTTCAAAACAGTTTTTGACAATTCTTTCGACTGAAATTGTTAGAGCAGCTGGCAGCAAAAGATTGTAAACAAACCAATACTGCATATGTGTGCGTTCCTTATAGAAAAAGGCTATAGGAAGAAGGTCGCTGCTTAGGTTGCCGAGAATACGTAAATTCCCCTATGTTGTAGATGGTGTGATGCAAAGTAGCGCTTGGCTGTTGCTGCATCTACCATCTCTACGTAGACACAGTTTCTAACATTGTGAAACTGGATGTTTAAGGTGTCCACTATGTCCAGTTTCAACTTACCGTACATGAATTTCTGTACGGCAGATGCATCTGGTCGCTTCGGCAGCACACTAAAGTCTACTACCAAGGTGTTCTCACGTTTAGCACCCACACTGTACACAAACATCATCCTCTGATCGAATGAAACCTCAGACCATTCAAAACAAAACACCAAAATCGCTTTTTCGAATGATAGCTGCTACCGGATGACGGTTGATTTGAAATCAGATGATTTTCCTATCGACTACAGGATGAAAATTGTTATAAGAAGAAACCGGGCCTTCAGTTGAAATGCGTAATGCTCTCTGCAGAATGACTGTCATACTAAATGGAAATGCATATGTTATTGGTTCAGCCCCATAACGAAAATCATTCAAAACGATGATGTAAATAATTCTATCGAGCGTCATTTGCTGATCGGAGCTGACAAACGAGGTGGAAGGATATGCATCGCTATCAGAGCTGTTACGAACATAGGTAAAGGATGAAAACCAATGTTTGGCTAATTCGTGGTGGAGGAGGTTTTCTCCACCACGAAAATTTTTTGTGTCCATAATGGAATAGCTTATTATGGCTATTCAGTATGAATTGTAGATAATAAAATTATAAATCTAATTAAAAGCACTAGCATGTCACACTATTCTTAAATGTTTGTCCTCTGAGTGCCGTATGTTTTATAGCTAATTTTCAAACCAAAATCATCCTGTATTTGGATGACAGTCATATGGATGTTCATCATCTGACGACGAATTCAACCATAAGAAAATCATCCGAAATTCGAATATATATTGTTAAAGGGCTCGAGCAATGCAATAATCATTCGAAGTATTGCGGATGTTTTGGTTCAGTGCATCTGGATCTGATAGAAAACTCATTAGCTTGTAACCTGATAACGAGACGGATAAATGAAACACTTCTTTCACGCACGGGCTTAGCGTTAGAAGCGTTAGATTCCTATAGTTGTGTATTGAGTATCCATGCACAACTAAAGGAACCTAACGCTTCTAACGTACCGCAACTATTGAAGCGTTTCCCCTACTATTCACTTGATTCATAAATTTCATGTGTGCTTCTGAGTGGATTCTGTTTATGTGTGGTCATATGATTAATTAATTAATTTAGCTTTATTTAGGAGGCTTTCAGCCTTAGGCTGGTTCGCCTCCAATGTGGTCATATGAAAATCATCTGGAATTTTACATGGAAATTCGTCAATAAAAATGTGTGGAATTCTATTAGTGAAGGAGTGCTACCAAGAGGGAAACAGATTAGTGGGAAAACAAACCATCCATTCATCCATGTATGCTAGATAGAAAAAGACGATTAAATGTCAAAAAGCTCGCAACACTTTGTGGTTTGTTTGGATCCCCTTATTCGTCATTTCTTTTAATTTGATGCATACTCTAATAAAATGCCATAAACTAATGATAACCCAAATGATAGGAATATTCCAAAAATGGTTTGAATGATACCCGGAACACGTCGTTAAGCAAAATAACCATAACAATTTGATTAGGGTCTCGATTAGGGTAATGAAAGAAATTAAATCAATTTATTTGTTCGTGATCTCCCGATGACGAATTTCTGCAGTAGTATCATATAGGTAACTCTAAGACTACACAGAAAAAAAAGTTGTTGAATATTACATCCAAACTGCTGCAACCAGGTCAATCCATCGGTTGTGTAATATAACGTTGTGCGATGTACATCGATTTTGCGAACAAAATTACATCTATTGATGTAATATTGTATCTGCTTTTTGCTATTACATCATTATTTCATACATCAGCTTGAATTACATTGATCGATATTACATTTTTTTTTGCTGTGTAGTAGGTCCCGACGAAAAGTGCTAAAGTTTTTGGCTCAGCTCTGGTACTATCTTCGGTTCCAAGCTAATCGATGCACCCCTCGAAACATAGGAAAGTCCACGAACCCCTCATTTTATCTGTCAAACTTTCATAGCAAATCAAAACAAACATCCTGTAGTACTAGAATTTCGACTAGAATGGGGCACGTTAATCGATTTGCTTGGGACCAATAGGCTAGTCAAGTAGTGAGCCAATTTTAAATCGTTAGTTTCCAACCGGTGCTAATACCATAGAGGTAACTATAAGACCAGCAGGTCCCGAAGAAAAGTGCTCAACTTTTTGGCCTTCGGTCCCAAGCTAATCGATGCACCCCTCGAAACATGTATGTTAATCGATTTATTTGGGACCAATAGGCTAGTCAAGTAGTGAGCCAATTTTAAATCGTTAGTTTCCACCTGTTGCTAATACTACCAACAATCAATACGAAACTTGAAATTTGAGAGAAATGTGATCAAAAATACTGCTACGGGTTGACGGTGTGCGCATTAGCACAGATAACAGACTTGTGTTATCTTGTGACGCCGTTACGTGGCGCTAGCATCTCCTGATTGCCTCTATAAATTTTCCACTTTCGACCAATTTGGCGCTAGTATCGATAAATTTTCTGTTAAAAATTGCCACTTGGCGCTACCAGCACTTAGTGTCTAGTGTAAGTTGTGCAACGCCAGCGCCATCAGATTGTCAAAGAGGGTTTTTAATGGGGAAGTCGCCGTTAGTGCCGCTTAAGTCGAATAGGACTCTTTATACTAGTTTTTAGAGAAATTTTGTACGTCTGTTCTCTGTGGCATTAATAAGTTGAAGAATTAGGCTCGGGACACGCAATAACCTTTAACTTCAACGCAGGCAACGGCTGTAATTGAATTAATTCCATTAACTACTGCTTCAATTATATTAATTACACAATGTAGAACATTAACTACTTTTTAACTCCATTAATTACAGTTGAAATTTCGTAATTAAATTACATTAATTACATTTTCAATACTTTTAATTACATTAATTCCGGATAGATAATTTTAATTACCGTCAGTACTACCATAGAGGTAACTCTAAGACTACACGAAACGAAAATCAATTATTTTATTCATGTGTTTCCCTTATACATTTTTGCCAAAGCATCAGCCTTATACATTCCATAAGACAAACCACATAGGTCCTACAAGAATGCATAAAAGGTATGTGTGACCGCTTATACATTTCATTTGACACATGAGCTTCATTAACTTTTTGCAAGGCGTCTGCTTATTAGTTGACTTATACATTTTATGAATAATCAGCAATAGAAATTTGCCAAAAGGTATAAGGAGATTTCTATCCGTGTAGAAGGTCCCGAAATAACGTTCTCAACTTTTTGGCTCAGCTCTGGTACTATCTTCGGTCCCAAGCTATTCGATGCACCCCTCGAAACATAAGAAAATCCATGAACCCCTCATTTTATCTGTCAAACTTTCATAGCTAATCAAAACAAACATTGCATAGTACTAGAATTTCAACTAGAATGGGATACGTTAATCATTTGCTTGGGACCAATAGGCTAGTCAAGTAGTGAGCCAATTTAAAATCGTTAGTTTCCTATTGATTGTTGGTACTACTTCAAAACGCATTAATTACTTTAAGTACTTTTGATTGCATTTTAACTTCAACGCACCGTTTTTTTTGCGAGGTTCTTTGTGCCCCTCGCATAAATGTCAAAGCAGGAACTGCAACTTGAAGTCCAAAGTGTAACTTTTGCTCCCAACAGCATCGCACTGAAAACTGCATCGTCGAAGGACCTTGTGCTTTCTAGCATGTGTAAATTTTGGTGGAAACCATTTGTCAACGGACAAGCCGTGCACCAAACGTGAAGAGTTTCACCAGACGGAGCTCCTCCCGGCTTCAGTTGGTATCAGCTAAAGAGCCTGAATTTATAAAGAGGCGACATATTATCAATTTGACAGGTCTTCTGCTCGATTGAAATGACTTTTCCTATGACTTTGACAGACAATCGATTGTTCCAATTTTGACATGTCGTCTCTTTATAAATACAGCCTCTTTAGTATCAGCCTTATCCCAGCCCAAACCTGTGATTTCCAGAAGCAAACCAGCCTGATTTATGGCCAAACGTGGACCACCCAACGGATTCCGTGTCGCACAAGGTCGTACAACGAGCTGCAACAAATGATTATGCAGATGATGCATTTCTTCATGAACTTCAATATTCACCACCAAATCCTTAATTGGAATGCCCACATCTTGCCGTCATGGATCACTGCTACGACATTTTAGTTTTGACCAAAACATGGCTCAATTATCGAACCATTTCAAACTATGTCTTTGGTGCTGGCTACGAAATATTTCGCTGTGATCGAAACACGAATAATAGTAAGAAAACTACTGGGGGAGGCGTCCTTATCGCAGTTAATTCCAAGCTGAAAGCAGAAGTTATCGAGGACGATTCCTGGAACAGGGTTGAACAAATGTGGGTGGCTATTCAACTTGGTGATCGTCAATTGCTTCTCTGTGCAGTGTACATTCCTCCAGATCGAACCCGTGACTTGGAGCTTATTGACGCACATTGTCGATCCGTCTTGGCCGCCTCAGACAGAGCAGGCCCTTCTGACGAAGTTATTGTTCTTGGCGATTTTAACCTACCGGACATTGCATAGACTCCAACTCATAGTGGTTTCTTTTGTCCTGATCACGAGCGTTCATCTTTCCACGTAGGAACCATCCAGCTCCTGGACAGTTATAGTACCGCAATTCTGTCACAAATCAATGGCCTGTTAAATGAAAACAACCGCACCCTGGATCTCTGCTTTGTGAGTGCTCGTGATACAGCTCCTTTCCTCTCCACGGCACCCGAACCTTTAGTCAAGGTAGTGCATCATCACCCTGCTTTAGTTATCGTGATCGAAAATAATATTGTCCATGATTTCACCAGCACTCCAAACGCTGTGTCATATGACTTCCGTAGAGCTGACCATCGCAGTATCGTCTATGTGTTGTCTAACCTAGATTGGGAGCATATTCTAGATCCTGTAGACGTCAACATTGCTGCACAAACCTTTTCTCACGTCTTGGCATATGTCATTGACAGACACGTTTCCAAAAAGATCAATTATATCGACTCTCGCGTCCCGTGGATGACGAAAGATCTTCGCTCGTTGAAAAGAACTAAGAAGGCTCCTCTCAGAAAATTTACTAAACTCCGCACACTGCCGCTGAAATGCTACTATGTCAGACTCAACCACGAGTATAAGCGGTTAAGTCGTCTCTGTTTTCAACGCTATCAAAGGAGGATTCAACGGAGGTTAAAATCACACCCGAAATCCTTCTGGAACTTCGTAAATGAGCAACGCAGGGAAGTCGGCTTACCCTCTTCCATGATTTTTAATGGTGAAACTGCTGGAAATCAACAAGACATTTGCAACCTGTTCTCAGCCAAATTTGCTAGTGTGTTTGAAGACGAGCAACTCTCCGCTAATATCATTACTTCCGTGGCCGAAACCACTACACAGATACGATCATGGCCGAAGCCACTTCAGATACTCCAGACCTCAGAGCTCTGTCGTTGTGCGGTAATCGGGACAGTACAGCACCAATGTATGTTTCAGGAGGTTGGTCCATAACGCCGATGCTTACAATTCTATGTGATCTCATAATTTTGAACCACAGTTGCTCAAGAGAAGTGTTGACCGGAGCAGGATCGAGGCAATAGTTCATTCGTTACGAAACTGGGCACGATCACTGCGAATACGAAGAATATCTTTGTCCACAGGTCACGAACGTTTTGATAATATACCACAAGACCCTCAGATAACGTAAGTTGGCAATCAGAAAGACGAGGTGCGGTCGGTTGTAAGGAGCGTGATGTTACGCTGAAACATAGAGGCTGAACAGGCGAAGAATTCAGTAAACGCATCCTTTGCCTGCAATCGAAGGTTGGAAGACCCCTTCACCGGTCTCAACTATAGGGCGACTGCGTTGAGAGGTTTAGGTGGCTCCATGAGGCTAACATTGTGCTGTAACTCGAACGTATATCAGGCGAAGAATTGAAGATTGAAAATTAATCAAATTCAGAAAACAAATTTACAGCATTGCATAGAAGTTCGAGTAACTCCTACATTGTTAACTTTAATGTTGCATAAAGAATTTCTGGAAGAATGAAGAAGGATAGAAATAATTGTTTTTTTTTTCAAACTGATGCGAACACGAGGAAGTTGAAGAAAATTTAAAGAAAGCGAACTTGAGTTACGAGTTCAAGGAACTCCTGAGAGCCTTTCTACCAACATTAGATAAAATTTCAAGGAACTCTAGAAAGATGATCAAACAACTTTCATGAATTACAGAGTTGTACAGGGATCTCCAGAGTGAGACTTAGGAATTTAGACGAGTTTTTCAAGTCCTGCTTCAGTGTGCCGAGAGTCTGTTCATAATGTTAATTCATCTGTGATTAAAGCTATGTATGGATTTTCGAATCACATTTACTAATACTTCCTGCTTAAGTAATTTGACTTTTTTTTTTTATTAATTTTCAACACAACGCAACAATGGTTAATCTGGGACATCAGAGACACCTGGAACTCGTTCCAGTTTGTGTACCTTTGCATTCTCTTAGAGCTTGAAACTACTAGTACTTGGAACGGCTTATCAGTTTTTCTCGCGCAAGTGTTGTCGCTTTCGTTCTTGAGTTATCATATTTTTTTGTAACAACTTGACTCTAATTGATCTAGATTCTTTTCGTTCACTTGGGTTTGGTATTCATTTCTTTGAGATTACTTTAGGCTAGTGGGGTTTGGTTTATGGTTTTGGGGAAGCTACAATTAATAACAAACTCATAAAGAATTCCGTTTTTTTCTCTACCGGAGACTATTTTTGGGTGTGTGTAAATAAAATCAAACAAAAAAATTTCCCGGGAAATGAACCAGGTCGTCAACAATAAAAAAAAAAAAAAACTAAAAATTCGGATTAGGCATTTAGTTACTCTCTATGCATGTATAAATATTAGTTTTCTTTGCGTTTGCTTTCAATAAATAGGAAAATAAATATTACAAATCTAGTTTCTTCTCTGTCTATAGCTCTTTCTCGTTTTTTCGGCCAGTTAATTCTGTATTAGTTTTAAAACTTATGCGTCTTTTCGCAAGAGTAGGCTCCTAACAATCTTAAATCTAACTGTTGTTTCAATTGTTAATATTGTTTTCTGTTTCTGTTTGTTTGTTTGTTTGCGTTATTGTTTTTTTTTTGTTTGTTTCTTGCAAGTGTCTCTTTCATAATCATGCTGCTTTTTCTTTATTCAATTTCTAGGTAAGTTTCTTCACGATCGCTCGTAGAACAATACGTAGGCACTGGATGTGATCAAACTCCTCTCAGACGTTTCGCTCACACTGGTGGAAAGAAAAAGGTTAGTGTTGATTAGTTTTTTTTTCGAGGAAATTAATGCTGATGATACTTACAAGTTATCATTGAATTCGTTCCATTCTTTCGAGACCGGATGCTTGCATACGGCAACGTAGTGACCGCCAGCGGTGGATCCTACGAGAAAAATATGAGAACGTGAGTTAAGTATTTCTAAGATGTGGTTACTTAAATGTCTCCAGGTGAATCGTGAGAAGAATCCCAGGGTAGTTCTGAGTAGAATTTCAAGAGAATCATGAGTAGGATTCAACGTAAATTTACAATAGAATTTTGTGGAGCATTCCAAGGCAATTCCAAAGAGAATTCTGACTAAAGCTGCATAGTACTTTTGAGGTAACATTTTTAGGAGATTTGTAAGGAGAACATGGGTCTCTCTTAGAGGAAACAGTCCTATTGTTGCGGAGGTCTCCATACACAACAATGAATAGACTTCTAACGCTGCTAACGTACCGCAACAATAGGGCTAATCCCCTAGCTCATTCGGTAGAGATGCAGCTACAAAGCAAGAACATGCTGGATGTGGTTGGGTTCCATTCCCGGTCCGGTCTAGGAATTTTTCGAGTTGGAAAATTTCTCGACTTCCCTGGACATCGAGTATGATTGTACTTGCCACACAATTATAGCAATGAAAAAATTGTACAGGCATCGAAAGCTCTCAATTAGTAACTGTGGAAGCGCATCTAGAACAATGACAATGTTTACTAGGTCTGTAACAACAGTCAGTTTGCTGGTGTTAGAAGCAAAAATGTTGTAAACATTAGCACAACATTCCATATTGTGGACAGCAAACACTAATAACACTAATAAACATTGCGATGAAATACGCACATCACCAAACATTTCCACATTTCACTAATACCAAAGCTTGTATAATTGACATCGCATCTAGAACATTAAGTTGTAGGCACTAAATAAGCTAATATTCGATAAGCAATAAGCTTGAAATGCGAAGTAGAAAAAGAAGAAGGAGAGCTGAAACGCTGAAAGTTAATTATATGGAGCGCTCCAAAGTACTTTCATTTTCATTTTCAAGCACATAAGGGGGTTATAGGGCCAGATCTCCAGTGAAACATTACTGTCCATGCTGCACAAGGGTAGAGGTAAAGATTTGGCACCACAGAATAATAATCACAGGGATCAAGTGCCGGATAGGGAGGAATAGTGTTTCAAGTAGGAGATAGTCGGAGTAACAGTAGTAATAGTAAAAGTTGAAAAGTAAACGTACAGAGGACAATGTTTGCAATACCTGTATTTCTTGTTTTATGATTTAATTTACTCGTGTTATTGATTAGTTTAGTGATTAACACGCTGAGGAAGAGTTATGTTATTTTTGATACGTATTTAGCCCTGCTGACCATTCTAGCCCTGCTACTAAAGGGTGTCCCACATAAAATTGCATCACGGGAAAAACGCTGTTGAAAATTACCTAGTTTACCGATCCTTTGCAAACTTTCAGACAATAAAATATAACCCATTAGTAAGCTTTTGGCATATTTATTTCATTCGACTTCAATATCATAACCATACGCTCGCACCTTACGCTTAACTCCACTCATTAGGTTCTGTACAACATCTGGCTGCAGCTTCTTCTGTACGGAAATCCACTTTTTCTTCATGTGCTCCTCAGATTTGACCTCCTTGGGATGCTTCCGTAGTGTCTGCTTCATAATACTTACTTAATTAACGATCCTGCGCGCCTCCATGGGGTGCAAAGGGCCTTTGTGAAAGATTTCCATGCTGGGCGATTACTAGCTTTGGCCTTGACCTGTGCCCAAGTCAAATTTCGGTCAACGTTCTTAATTTCACTGTTTAGGCTCCGCCGCCACGAGCCTCTGGGTCTGCCTCTGGGTCTGCCTCTGCTGCAATGTCCTGCTGGATTCCAGTCCAGTGCTTGCTTGCAGATTTCGTTGCCGCTCCGTCGTAGTGTGTGGCCGACCCACCTCCACTTCCGTTCACGAATTTCTGTCTCTATCGGCTTCTGATGGCACAAACGATGAAGCTCGGAATTTGAGATCCAATTGTGGGGCCACCAGGCACGAATTATGTACCGCAGGCATCGGTTGATAAACACCTGCAGCTTCTGAGTGTTCTCCGCTAATGCACACCATGTTTCACTGGCGTATAACAGCACAGACTTCACGTTCGAGTTAAAAATTCGGATTTTGGTGCGTAAACTGATCTGATTCGCTCTCCATACATTTCGCAAACTGGCAAAAGCAGCCCTCGCCTTCTTAATCCGTGCACCTATGTCGCTCTTCTTGCCGCCGTGCGACGCTATCTGGCTGCCAAGATATTGGAAGCTTTCGACTTTCTCCACTGCCTGCCCAGCTACCGTGAAATTGGAACGGTTTTCCGTGTTGACATCCAACGATTTAGTCTTATTGACGTTGATGGTTAGACCTGCTTCAGAGGAGCGTTCCACAAGGTCGTCAAGCTTACTCTGCATGTCAGAGCGTCGTTGTTCTAATAACGCAATATGCTCCATAGTAATAGCATAGAGGTAACTCTAAGACAAGTAGGTCCCGAAGAAACGTGCTCAACTTTTTGGCTCACCTCTGGTACTATCTTCGGTCCCAAGCTTGTCGAATCACCCCTCGAAACATAGGAAAAACCAATAACCCCTCATTTTATCTGTCAAAATTTCATAGCGAATCAAAACAAACATTGCGTAGTACTAGAATTTCGACTAGAATAGGGTACGTTAATCGTTTGCTTGGGACCAATAGGCTACTAAAGTGGTGAGCCAATTTAAAATCGTTAGTTTCGTATTGATTGTTGGTAATAGGCTGCCACAGCAACCAACGGTTCGGTACACGGTCAACGGCTCCAACCATGATCTCTTCGATTACGATGAGGAACAGTATCGGTGATAATATACATCCTTGCCTCACACCCGCGATTACCCGATTCGAGTCAGACAAAGCTCCGTTGTGCAACACTCTGCATGAAAAAGCCTCGTACTGCGCTTCGATGAGGCTGACGATCTTATCAGGGACTCCCTTGCGTCTCAGAGCGCCCCACAAGTTTTCGTGGTTTAGTCGGTCGAAAGCTTTTTCGTAGTCAATGAATACCAAGTACCAAGGACTCTTGGAACTCATTGACCTGCTCCAAGATGGTCCACACAGGATCTTCCAACACGAAATCCTGCCCGCTGTCGTCGGAGAGTCGCGTCGATCTTCTCCTGTATCCGATTGAGGATAACTTTACACAGAACTTTGAGAACAATACACAGTAACATGATGCCTCGCCAGTTGCCGCATACAGTTGGATCCCCCTTCTTGGGGACTTTTACCAAGACGCCCTGCATCCAGTCGGCCGGAAAAGTCGCGGTGTCCCAGATATTGACGAATAGTTGATGCAACATTTGTGAGGATAACATGGGATCAGCTTTGAGCATCTCTGCTGATATGCGTTCGACCTCCGGGGCTTTGTTGGACTTCATACTTCGGATGGCTGCTTATATCTCCTGCAATGATGGAGCTTCAGTGTTGACGCGAGTAACACGCCTCACCCTTGGCGGATCATGCCGAGATGTTGATGGTTGGTTGACCGTTGCAACTTCGAAAAGTTGTTCAAAGTACTCAAACCAACGTTTCAACTGGTCAGTGGGGTCGGTGAGCAACTGTCCAGTCGCGTCTTTCACAGGCATCCTTGGGTTCATCCTTGCCCCGCTCAGGCGTCGTGAATCATCATAGAGGAGGCGGATATCGCCAGTTGCTGCGGCTTTCTCCCCTTCATCAGCCAGGGAGTCCACCCACGCTCGCTTGTGCCGTATACAGGAACGCTCTTGGCTCCTCGGGTCCTTACTCGCTCTATCGCGGCTTTTGCTTCTCTCCGCTCCTCGATCTTCCTCCAGGTTTCATCGGTGATCCACTCCTTCCTCTGAGTGCGCAGCTCATCCAGGTTGTTCTCGCTTGTTCCAATAAAGGCATTCTTGATGCTCGTCAACTGTTCGACGCAGCCACCTTTCGGAATATTAGCTGCGCGAGCCTCGAGTTCTTCGACGAACGATTTCTTCACTGCTGGGTCTTCCAGTCGGCGTGTATTGAATCGCCGCACGAGTCTCTCCTCCCGCCGTTGAACCCGCGCAATGCGTAGGCGGATCTCACCTACCAGGTCCATGGTCAGACGCGATGTCAGCGCTGCGTTTATTCCGAACATCAAGAAGGCTCCGTGTCCATTTTCGGCTGATGCAGATCTGGTCGATTTGGTTCTCTGTATATCCATCACGGCAGACCCATGTGACTTTATGCACTGGGCGATGGGGGAAGAGCGAACCCCCGATCACGATGTCGTTGTTGCCACAAAACTCTGCAAGCAGCTCGCCATTCTCGCTTATATCTCCGAGACCATGGCGTCCCATAATGCGCTCATAGTCCGATTTGTCGGAACCGATCTTCGCATTGAAGTCGCCTGTGTAGATCTTGATATCACCTCTTGGAGTCTTATCCACGACAGCATTCATTTGACTGTAAAAGTTCTCTTTGTCCTGCAATTCGGCAGCATCGGTTGGCGCATAACATTGGATTATGGTAAGGTTTCGGACCCGTGTTCTGAATCTGGTAACGATTATTCTCTCATTGATAGGTTCCCACTTGATGAGCGCAGCCTGTGCTTGGGTGCTAAGCAGAAAGTCAACTCCACGATGTCGCGGAGCGTTTTCACCTCGCATACCAGAATATAAAAGTACCTGTCTCGAAGGCAGCTTGTGTTCTCCAAAGTTCGGCCAGTGGACTTCACTAAGTCCCAGGATTTCTAGCTTCATACGACGGGCCTCACTGGCGAGTTGTGCCAGTTTATCCTGTTGGGCTAGTGTCAGTACATTCCATGTTCCAAATCAGTTCGTAATCTTTCACTATAGGTTTCTGTAACAATTTGAAGGTTTCGGAGACAGTGGGTGGTTGGCCTAAGGTCTCCTATCCGCCGTGATGGGAATGTCATCTTGGGTATAGCTTTCGGGGAGAAGCATTTCGTATTCAACCGCTGGATGCCAGTCAGACGCTGTTTGAGCCGCCCCTAACGTGGAGAACAGACGCTCGGGTTTTGTAAGCCACATTCTCCGAAATGGATGCAGCTCCCCCTTCCCTGTCAGCATACGACCAAAGTTCCCACCGGGGTTGGTTACCCGATCTTCTCTAAGGGGGTAACCCCAGCCGGCGCCGAGGGGAGGAAGACCTAGACGTAAGTCTCATCATCCATGCTCAGACAATGAGGCTTCGTCAGCATCGGGGTGCACAGTTTCCGGGCCCGTGACATTCCCACCGTATTTTGCCGTTTGTCATGATTTGGAGCCTTCAGCACTTTGTACGTATGCAGTCTCTCCCGGTCTTTGGCTCTCTTAACGAAAGACTAAGACAGATTCAACTTTTTGACCACATTCCTGACCGAAGCATTGAGATTCCGTTTAAACGCTTTTACGACACACTTGAGATCCTGATCACTAATAGATCATTTATTCTGACCGCATTTCTCCTCCCGTTCGATGCTCAGAGTTTAGTAGTAACGTTTAATCACACGACTCACCGTTGACGACACGATTTCGAGTTGTTTTCCGATGTCCCGATGAGAGAGTTTTTGGATTTTTCAGGTGGGTACGCAAATCAATTCGCGACGTTGCTTTTCGGGTGACGCCAATTTTTACAACTTTCGAAAAACTGACAGCGATAAAAATACAGTGTAAACAATACACTCTAAACTATTTCTGCCCAAATTTCCAAGAGAAAATACCCAATGGGTAATTTTCTACAGCGTTTTTTTCCGTGATGCAATTTTATGGACTTTGAGGACTTCCTTAGCTCAGTCGGTAAAGGCACAGCTACAAAGCAAGACCATGCTGGAGGTGGCTGGGTTCGATTCCCGGTCCGGTCTAGGAATTTTTCGGGTTGGAAAATTTCTCGACTTCCCTGGGCATAGAGTATGATTGTGCTTGCCACACAATCAAATGGTACAGGCATCGATGGCTCTCAAATAATAACTGTGGAAGTGCATCTAGAACACTAAGTTGTGAGCACGCAATAAGCTAATATGCCATACGCAATAAGCTTGAAATGCGAGGAAGAAGAAGAAGAATTTTATGTGTGACACCCTTTAATGGCGTCTAAAGTTTGAAAATTTTTATTTTTTTGTGTTAAAATCATATTTCATCATATCACAATTTCAAATGTGATTTCATGGTGTGCTCGACTAAGCTAGCAATCTAGAAAAGATTATTTGAAAGTTTGTTTTGTCTTGTTAACACCGTGTTATTTCGTTTTGATTCAAAGAAAATTGTCGGAGCTTTAAAAAAGTTCCAGCAAGTTCAGAAAAACTTCGAAAACTTAAGGAACGATCCGAGAACATTCCTGAACATTGGCGAAATGCGGGAGCACTTCAAAGAAGCTACTATGCTCCAAATGTGGGGGAAATTGCAGAGGGTTTTCAGTTCCATTAGTTTCAGAAAATGAGCGGGAAATTTTAAGAATTTCAGAGAACTTCAGAGATGTTAAGAATATTATTGAGATCTTCACATAAGTTCACGGAAGTTTAAACATTTCTAAAAAAGTGATATATTTCATTTGAAATGTAACGCCTAAATGGTGGACTGAACTTTCAGCATGGATGCCGGAAAAGGAACAAGGGAAGGTGCCCAAGAAACGTAGCATGTTTTATTAAGGCTTTAAGGCATTCTTCAAGTCTAATTCATGGTTTACAGAACTCTCATAAGGCTTGTACTCGAAAAAATACACCATTTTTATCCGTGGGTAAAAATTGATGAAAACCTGAGTATAACTAGTTTGGAGTGAATTGTTTACATGTGCAAAATTTCATAAAAATCGGTTCAGTGGTTATTGAGATGTCATCGAAACAAGAAGAAAATCGCCGGAGAATTTTGCGCACCGTCATGGAAAATCCGACTGCGACCATGAGATGGATCGGAAGACAACTGGGAATCACCCATACAACTGTGTCTCGGGTGGTAAAATCGTTTAAGGAGTCTCAGACGACCGAGCGGTGGGCTGGAAGTGGAAGAAAGTCGAAGACACCTGACCCTGTGAAGGCCCGGAAGGTGTTGGATTATTTCAAGCGTAATCCGAACCTTTCGATTCGCGACGCGGCGCTGAAGACAAAGTGTTCCACCTGGTTCGTTCAGCAAACCATGAAACGAGCTGGGCCTCGTGTATTCAAGGTCCGGAAGGCACCGAACCAACGTGATCAACAAAACACGGCGGCCAAATCCCGCGCAAGGAAGCTGTATCGAGAGTGGTAAACGAAACCGATGTGTGTGGTTATGGATGACGAAACCTACATCAAGGCAGACACAAAGCAGATACCGGGGCTGGAGTTCTACGTTGCCAAATCACGGTTTGATGTTCCGGAAGACATAAGGAAGAAGAAAGTGGATAAATTCGCCAAAAACTGCTTGCTCTGGCAGGCCATATGCCAATGCGGTAAACTGAGTAAACCGTACATCACAATGGGTACCATCAACAGCGAAATTTACCGCACCGAGTGCCTCTAGAAGCGTCTGTTGCCCTTCCTGCGGTCCCACGGATTGGTACAGAGACAATAACGTTGTTTTTGTACCAAAAACCGCCAACCCCCCAAATTCACCAGAGATTCGTCCGGTGGAAGGATTTTGGGCCATAATGAAGGCCAAAGTTCGAAAATCGTCCAAGGTGTTTAAGAACGAGCTGGAGTTGAAGAAAGAATGGATGAAAGTGACCAAAAAGGTCGGCTCCACCATTGCACAAAATGTAATGAGGGGTCTTAAGGGAAAGGTGCGGGCTTTCAGCGATGGAAAGGAAATTGAATAAAGTAATTATGCTGAAACATAATCCATATGTATTAGTTCATTCCCTGAAAGTTTCAAGAAAATTCGACTTAAAATAAATTTTTGGCGAACACTTTTGTCTGGTGCATTTTTTCGAGTACAGGCCTTAAAACTTGGAATGTTACTTGGGACGTAATCGATGTTCACCCATCAAGAAACAATCTTCACCCCGCATCAAACTTTGTCCCAGCAGAATTCAATCCCCACCAAAACTCACCCATGTGGTTCGAAATCCCGTACAGCGAGTAGTATACCGGTCCTTTGTTGTCTTCGGAAGCGTACGACTGCAGGTTGAGTCCACGCTCTCCGGTCGGGAAGTCGATCACATTGGTTAGCTTGTTGCTCCATCGCGTCTCGGAGAATCGCTTGAGATCTGCGTTGGAAGTAAAGTTATTCAAATGAAACTCGCTTATTCTCATATAGGAACACAGTGTGAAACTCACGTATCACCAGGTATTTGGGGAACCGTTCGATCGCAAGGCTCTTGGTGCACTTCCGCCGGGTTTTGCACCGGGAGCACGTCGGTTGATCGATTCCGTCCATGACTTCCTCCTTGACGAACATGTCCATGCATTCATCCAGTTTGCACCGGGAGTTGGTTGATGGAAGGGGTAAACTGCCGAGAAAATAACACTCGAACTAAAGAAGTTTGCGCACGACGAAAGCCATTCTCAACCCTACCTAAGATCCCAGAATGGATCGAAAGTCACGCTTGCGCCATTGCAGTACGTACACTTGAGCGTGCTCCGCAGCAGCCCTACAAACAGGTCCTTGATCATGGAATTCTCCACCCTCGAGTACCAGTCCCACATCATTTTGGCCTTGACGCTATTTCTGAAATTCAATCGGATCAGTACCGTCGGTCGTCTACCACAAGCTAATGGAGCTGGACCTACTTCATATCGTCGTCTTCGATCGATCGATCAATGGGCTCCCGCTTGACGGAAATGTTCAACGCACCGTGCAGCGAATCGATGAAGAACCGCAGGAATTCCTGCGCGTCCTGCTGGGCCGATCCGGAGTACATCCGGTGCTTGCTGGAGAAGGCATACTTCATCTCCGACGGGTTAACACTACGGGTCGTTCCGCTCCACATGTCTTTGATCAGCTTGGTGTATTCTGGAATCGGATAATTGTCATTAGGTTTTGGATATTCGCTTGCATTCGATCATAGCTTACCGGCAAGAATCTTGTGATCCTTGCTCGTTCCTCGCTCCGTGGTTGATTGCTGGCGTAGGTAGCTTGTTAGCTCCCTGGTATGGCTGAGGCACTGTATTATCGAGTTCATGAAGCACGTGTTGCCTATGTTCCACAGGCCGCAAAGTCCTGAAATCGGAAGCAGACAAGTTTGAAATTCTGCGTGATTTGCGGCGGTGCGACATGAAAGCTTACCTTCTTTCCGACTGCCACTACTCCGCGTAAGCGTATCGTTAGAGTCGTCATTCGTTCGATCATAGCTGGATTTTTGTACTGACGAGGAACTGCCTAACCCGGAACGGTAGCTGCTGATGCCCGAGTCGTAGTCCCGGCTTCGATAACCGACCGGACTGGTCGAGTGGATGCTCTTGGATGCCGTGCCCGTACGAAGCTGAAGAATACACAGGACCGGTTCGTTAGAGATGGAGGTATCTAGCTGAAGGCTTTCTTGGGAACCTGCTGCATGTGTCTGTCTGTTAATCTAAATTCATCTAGCGATCTACCTGATATCGATTGAAGTATGGAAGCTGTACAGAGTCGCTAACACGACCGAACTGCTGACTTCACCGCGCCCTTTGTCTGTATGTGTCTAACTTGTGTAATCTCTATGAAAAAGCTTACAAGCTGCTGCCGTAACAAGCAACGCATCACAGCTGTTATCGAGCGCGTTACATACACGGGGAGATGTAACATCCAAAGGAAGGGAGTACTGATAATCGTAAAGTGAAGGACAGTCTTAAGTAACCATCTTACAGAAGCCGATTATCCGCAATGGGTAAGACGAACAACAAGGGGGTGGCAAAGGAACTCTTTGTAACGCAAATACGTGAAGATAGATAGCGAGAGAGAGAGAGAGAGGAGTTCTTTGTTAATCGAATTAGTACGCGTTTCTGTTTTGGCTGGCTTCGGGGTTTCGAGGCATGTAAGAAGGACATATGTAGCTATTTATATGTACGTGTAGGCGGGCAAGGTAAGGTGGATGTTTTTTTTTTGCAAAATAAAGATTTCCGATTGCCGTAAAGCAGAAGAAAGACATTTTTAAGCAGGGATAGAGAGAGAGAGAGAAAGCGCGCGTGAAAGATTCGGGAAGACTGAGAAGCTACTTACATAAGAGACTCTATCATCGTCATTGGTTTTCGGCTCTTTGTCTACCGAATTGGCGCTAGCGACGGCTGGCGATTCTTCACTGTCAACTTCGTTGTCGTCGCTGCTGCTGCTGCCACTGCTGCTACCGTTGATGCGTCTATCATTCTGCTTCTTCTCTTCCCTGCCGTTGACCGCAATGCCATTGTTGTTGTTGTTGTTCAGGTTGCTGCCGTACCTGCTACTGCTGCCGTTGGGGATCTCGTGATCGTCGCTGCTGCTGTTACCGTCGTTTGCATTGTTGTTGTTGTTGTTGTTGTTGATGCTGGTAGTGCTGCCATTGGTGCTGTTACTGCTACTGCTACTTGTGCTGTGACTTATGCTAGACTTTGGTTTGATTCGTATGGTAGTCGACACGTGGTTGTCGCCATCGTGGATGTCGTCCGTGGTGGTCGAAGCGGTGGCGAGAACCGGGGCTCCGCCGCCGTTCGCGAGACCGTTCGTTCCGTTCAACGCCGGCCGCAGCTTGATAGTCACCTGCGCGACCGGTTCCTCGATTTCAGACGTGTAGTGCAGCGATTTCATCGTGTCGGCGGTGGCGCAGGCGATGGCAGAACGAGAATTGGTAGTATAAGTACGGTTTACGGTACAAGTTGATGAACGAGAGGAAGCAGTTGTTAGCGACTCTGTAGTTGCAGTTGACGGAGGTGATGTTGTTGAAGTTGTAGTTGTTTTCGTGGTCGTGGACGATGATGGAGATGGTTTGAAAAGAGAATTATCATTTTTTTGAGTACAATCGAGAATGGTGGTCGTGGTAGGCCTATCTATTGGTTTTAGTAGTTCGACACCAAACTGCACTGCGCTAGATGGCGATGGTGATGATGAGATGCCGGTTGATTGGTTGTTGTTGTTGTTGTTGTAGTTGTTGTTGCTGTTTTGATACCGTTGGTGAATGTGGTGATGGAGATGGTTTTTGTCATCATCCTCATGATCTTTGGGCTGGTGACCGGTTTTTGGGGTCGTCGGTACGGGCGGCAGAAATTGTTTAACCTTGGTCACGTCCAATTTGGCGGGCGCTTCCAGCAAGTTACTTGCAGAACCGATCTCAAGTGGTTTGGTGCCGGTCGAACCGTTCTTGAAGGCAATTTCCGTGGCACTTTTGCTGAGTTCTCGCTTCACCAGATCACACTCGTGCTTGAGAAAGTTATGATTGCGGTAACTGGAGAGACCGAGTAGCTCCTTGCGTCTACCGGATGGTGATAGGTCGCTGGAGCTGCAGTTTAATGCACTTTTCGGTAGAGGAGGCCTATGGGGCCGTAGTTTGCTCAGCGTAGACCGAAATTGAGTTGCTGGGGCCGCCACGGGCCTGCACAGGCGTGTAGCAGCATCGAGCGTCGCATTGCTGGTAGCGGTGGTGGTAGTTGTGGTCGTATCGTGCAGCACCGAAGATGATGACGATGATGACAGTAGAACGGATGTAGTAGAGGAGGTAGTGGTAGTAATTGTAGTGGTGGTGGTGGTGGAAGTTGTAACTGTGGTAGCAGTAGCGCTATTGCAACTAGTGGAGTTGTCGGAACGGACACTGAGAAAGCATGCTGCGCTAGCCGGTTTGGCGCCGGTATTGTTAGCCGCCGTAAGCTTGCTGTTAGTTTCTAGTAGTGGATTATTAGCAACACTGGTGGTGCCATGGTTAGTGTTAGTAGGGCAATTGTTATTATTGTTGGCGGCGACGACAACTGCGTCAAAATTACTGTTTCTATCTTTACCGGGAATGTTCTTTACCTTGCTAGTGTCCGCCGACGACGAAGGCGAAGTGCTCTTCAGGATACTACTTGGCTTCGGAGTTTCCGACGGTGACCTCGAGGCGATTATCCGCTCGAAACTGTTCGGCTTGTAGGTCGAGACGCTGTACTTCTGGTAGAGTTCTGCTCCGCTAAGCGCAGTGCTTCGCAGATTCGAGACGTAACTGGAGGATCCTGAACACAGGCAATTGTTGTCCCTGTCCTTGAACCGCGTGTCAGACGATCGCGAACTGAGTCGAGAACTGTAGTCTCGCTTTGGTGCGGAACTTAGTGAACTATAACTATAGGCTGTCGAGTAACGACTAGGTCTACTGGTGCTGGTGGTGTCTTTGTTGTTAACTGTAGTGTTTGTTCCGTTTGAGGTGCTGTCACCGGAATTCTTCGATACGCTCACGGTAGATAGTGAAGCCGATAGATCTGCTTCTGCTCTGCGATCTGCTGCTGTTGTTCGATAGGACGATGAATAGATTGACGAGGAGCTCGGTAGATCATAGCGGTATGAACTTCTCCGATAGATACTGCTGCTGCTGGTGCTAGTGGTATAGCTCCGATCGGTCAGGCTAGACTTGTAGCGGTATGACGACGGAGAGATGTAACTACTGCCACTGGTCGAATATGCTGATATCACCGGCATATTAAACTTCTTCTAGTCCCGCACGATGAAACAATCTGAAACAACGGACAAACAAACAATCACTTTCTTTAGGAACTTTCCAGAGCGCAATAAATATTTCTTATTGTTTGTTATGGCTTGTGAAAACTCGAAAGCGCGAAGAAAATAAAAATTATCGATTCAACATAAACGTGACAACTCCACCGTCGTCGACGTCGTTATCTTTTGTGTTGAGGCATTCGTTCGCTTCGCTAGCAACCACCAGGCTCGCGGTTAGGGTTTGTTTTTGTGATGGCTTCTTTCTCTAGTGTTGCAAGTGCATGTGGGTGTAAGAATAGGTTCTAAATGGATACAAACAACGATATGTAAGGGCGCGCGTGCACGAACGAATGGGAACGGGGTGGGATATGGCGACGTCACGACTGGCACTGTACCATCATCGTTTCGATCGTATAACGAGCGTGAGGTGTGCATGTTGCATCCATCGTGGAATAACGTGAGACAGGGGAATTTTTAGTGAAGTTTAATTTACATTAATTCAAATTAAACTGGTGAAGCTTGCCTTCGGGGTTTTCAACAATTTACCACACCACACACTTAAAAATAACTAACATACAAGATGGAACGTAAACAATCATTTCATGTTAAATTCAGTGCTCCGAGGAAGAAGAATATGTTATTTGATATGTACATTGGATTGATTTGAATTTCGCTTATTTTCTTATGTCAATTGTACGTCAAAAAGGGTGCATTTTCAGGAGTTTTTCGTTGTGTGCAGAAATATGAATACAGTAATGACCCGTTTTTGTCATCTGACTTTTATCTCTCTCGGTTAATTTCACTTAACCGTAATTCAAAATATTTCTTATTCATCATCAAGATGGATGCTTAAGGTATCGTTTGATGCAGTAAGACCACTGAAAAAACGCATGGGTTTCATACAACAATAGAAACAAATGTCAAACAAACAAAAGGGAAAAAGTCGGGATTTTTAGTTTCTCCAGGAAACAAAACGCGCAAAAGTCTGGAATTTGAAAATCTTCCAGGAAAATAATATAGGATATATGTCGGCTTCGGCACCCATTGACTGTTTTTGGCAACCAAAATGTAAACGTTGATTTGTATTTTGCCATCAAAATACTTCGCTAAATGTATTCACACGATGCCTTAGAGTTGCAGCTTCAATCTGATTTCAGTTTTACGACTGAGCAATCCCGTTATGCCATATTTTTATTTAAATGAAATATGGGCACTACATAATGCGGCGGATTGTGAGTTGCTCATAATAGAATAGCTGGTCAACACGCAGTTCAAATGGAAATGTTGCCGAAGAAAAAGAGGCTGCCCACAATAGTCACACTCACCTGAGAAGTTTGGAACATTGTGCAAACGTTTTCAAACAGTATTGGATAATTCTGTCGATTGGAATGGACAGAGAAGCAAGCAACAAAGAAACACGTCATATGTATGCGTGACGTGACGCTGAGGAATTTTTTTTATAGAAGCTTGGACGCTGGTTAGATTGACGAGAATTCGTAAATTCCCTTTAATTCACACAAGTTTGAACAAATCGGTTGTTATCGGTAATTTTTATAATGAGTTCAAAACTTATTATTTCGTTCAAGTTAATACTTCCACCTAACTACAACATTTCTGCAAGATAAATATAAAGTGTTAAGTAGGCTGTTTGACATAATGCCATTTGGCATAATGGTCATATTGCAATAACTGCCGTTTGGGAAGAAGTGACGTGTTTGAATTTTGCTCCCGTGTTTAACAAAGTATGAAGTTTCTTGCGAACATGTGTTTTTGCGTATTTGAATGTCTGAATCTGAAAGTGGAACAGCTATCGGAACGGGAATAGTGAGCCAACATCTGCAGGTTCATCGACAATGCTGCAATGACGGTGCGTTTATTCCGATGCACATCTTCCCGAGACCAGAGCAAAGGAAACCTGATTTTGTTATTGTCAGGATTATCCATTTCCTTGGAGCTCCATTTGCGAGAACAATTGATCTTAAGAATCACGAAGAGGCGGGCTAGTTGCAGATCATTCGGGTGAGATCCTTCCTTTTTATTTCATTTGTTTGCATTATAATTCATTAGTATTCATAAAAACTTTACCAAATTGACCAAGGAGCCAAACTTTTAAATTGAGGAGCTCGGCTAGCTTGGTGGCCGTAGCATATATGGGGGCGTCGGTGAGTCGCTGGCCTTTCGTTAAGTAGATGGTACACCAACAATATCCTTGCTTTCCTTGTAACGGAGAAGGCAATGGCTATTGTCATCAATTTCCGGCTATGAATTCTCAATGGAAAGCTTTTCGCTTTCAAATAGTTTTCCTTAAAAAATTAGAATAAGAACGTTAAAGTAGATACATGACAGTTGCCAGTATGTAATCTACAAATTACTCCGTTGCAAACGCAACGAAACGAATTTTTTAGCTTTTAGAACGATTCTGAGACTTAAACTTATTCGAATTTCAGGATATAATAAAACCAATAGGGTTACGGGATGTGAAGGAAGACATTCCGAGCAACTACGATAAACCGGACTAGTTCATGTTGATCTTCGCCAAGCTTCGTCTACAATTTGAACTTCTACATCAACACATGTCAGGCAGCCTTCAGGTTCAATTGGCTAAACTTGGTGAGTTCGTTCCATTTTGTAAATTTTTATCTTTTCAAACCAGTAACGTTGGGAGATCACCTTTTTGTGGTGCGTTACTGGTTTAAGATCTACCATCGAACCCTAGTCGTGACAACTTCAAACTAGGGAATCAGGATTTTCCAGTTATCAACCTATCACATTTTAGTGTCTGTTACTTTTTATGATTTGATAATAGTGACAAGACTCGAGTAGACACCGCGCCGTTCTGCATTTCTATATTGTATATTTCAAATCAAAAATATTGTTTATGTTCATAGATTTCACATAATCCTTTTCGCTTTGTCCTTCTCCTTTCTCTTTTCAGAAAGCGAGCAATGGCGCTATAGCCATAAGTCATAAAAGGCTAGAACAAGAGCTACCCAAGTAACATTGCAAGTTTTAGGGAGGTTTTAAAGCATGCTACAAGTCTAAATCATGGTCTACAGAACCCTTATAAAACCGAAATTGTTACTTGGGTAGTGCTCATGCCCCTACCGTCAGAAGAAAATTGAGCATCACTTAACCTTTCTAGCTTTAATGCTTCCAACGACCAACCAATCATATAATTACCAAAATCGGAACGTACGGTACGAGATGTCCACGTTTCCTCCATTTATTGGATTCTGGAGCATCGTGTTCAAATCTTTGATTTAAACAGGCCCGATATTTACTGAATCACTTTTGATTCAGTAAATATCGGGCCTGTTTAAATCAAAGATTTGAACACGATGCTCCAGAATCCAATAAATGGAGGAAACGTGGACATCTCGTACCGTACGTCTTGCCCCTTAAATGCTGCACAGAAGGCAGGGCTGGTAGCAGGTCACTTTTTAGTGACTTGGTCACTATTTTGAAGCCTCAATGTGTAAAAACTGGTGATCTTAAATTAGGCAATACCAGCGCCGGCCGCGCCCGAACACAGGTCAAGAAAGGAATGGGAAGGATTGTGTTGACATGACACTCGCTTTGATGGAAGCCGAGAACACCTCTGCACTTCCACGAGGAATCACTGGGATGTTGGATAAGAGGGTGGGGTTTGCAGCAGGGTTCGTTTTGGAAAACGATAAGCTGCATTGATGTCCTAACGATCATGTAACGCGAAGGAGCTTGGGACTAAACCCACGGTCTTCTGCTCAGTAAGCAAAAACGTTTGCCACTAGGCAGACGAGCACCTTTTTAATCACCGAGTTGCTGTTATTACCATGTAGTCATATTAACAAATAAAACGATTGAAGAATTTTGAATGTGGATGGGCCTGAGATTTGACTCATGATGTTCTGCTCAGTAAGCAAAAACGGTTGCTCTAAGGCCACCGAGCCCCTCATATCACATAATACCGTTGCTCAAATTTGTGTATCCATTCAAACCCGGAACCAACGACAACAACAAGTTTTGCAAAATACACGATACACAAGCGATTTTACCATAAATCTCTTTGATATGTAAGGACCTGGGACCGCGTTTTTCTGCTCAGTAAGCAGGCCACTGTAACCGACGATCTTTCAAATCCGAAAACTAAAAACTACAAAAAAGTACTTAGGCCTTCATTAAGTTCCACTTTCACGCGACGTTCAATGACAGGGTCTTATCCAGGATTACATCTGAAAAATCCAAATCTGGCCAACGCCCACCTAAACCTGTTCTAATCCACCTGAAATGACTAACGAATGGAAGACTTTGACTACGCAGCCATGGAATAGTCTCATTCCATGCCTTATGGCAACTTGATGATTCTATTGCGCTCATCTTTTGGCACCACCCAAAGGAGACTTGGTCCTGTACCCAATGCTTAACTTATCTCCATTCCACTCAGCTACTCGCAATTTCTTGTGATATAGTGGGCGGAATATTATTATATGAGACAATTCAATGCAGACGTCTTTCCAAATTTGGCAGATCGACAGGTAATCGGTGAGTTACCACTATAGTTGCTATTCAACAACTCGACAACGTCCCATCGTCAACGCCTGCTATGAGAATTTCCCATTGCAGACGCCAACGAAATGACGTCATCGAGCTATCGATCAACTACCCTGGTTATCGCCTGGTACCTTATAGCACGATGCTAGGAGGCGAACCGGAAGAATCGATGAGCTACCTCTCCCCCTATTGGGAAATGCCTATAATTTCGATTAAAAATCGGGAAAAATATACCTCCTTTCCCAAAAAATATATTGTAAACCTTGGAAACTTTCCGAAGGTATTTGTCTGTGATAGATTTTCAAAAGTCTTTCAAGGATGATTAAGAACTTTAAAAAATCCAAAGTAAATTTTAAGATAATTTTAAAGGATTCTAGGGATGACACCAAGGTATACAGAGAAGAATACCAAAGTACAGACTACGAAAGTCTTATGTAAAATTAAGTGCTCTGAGGACCGATTTCTTCTTCTCCGCTTAAATATTAAG